AGAACTTCCAACTCTTGCATTTGGAGGTACAACATTGTAAAAGAGGGAGAGAGGGTTGAAACCCTAACCCTGTTTTTCTTGTTTGTTTTTACATCTATTTTAGATCATAAATTAGTTTTTAAAATCCTGCCTTGGCTCAATACACTACATGTTGAATAAAGCAATGAAGGAATAGATGATTTTCACCTAAGCCCTCTTGATGTTACAGCTCTAAGCTTCAGGTTGTCTTTTGGAGTCTGTGAAGCAACTAAACACTGCTTTATTCACATTCAGTTTTAGTTTTTCTTCTCAACTTTGTCAGCAACAATATTTTTGTTTCTATAGGTGCAGCAAAGCAATGGTTTAAATATTTTTGTATAGAGGTATGCTTGTGTGCTCTGTATTTTCAAGCAGTGTAACTGCGATGGTGCGCTAATGCATAGTCTTAGAATATCACTTCTTTTTAACTCACCTGTGTTTTGCTCTTTTTGTGGAAAAGTAATAAAACTAGATCTAGAAGCAGATACTTTACGTGTAAAATTAATTAACAGCATCTTTTTCTAGCAATTTGTAGTCCTAATAATAAGCAAACTGTTTGTAACTCAGCTATGTTTACTGATACAGCTATAGAGGTAAGACATTTGTCTTTGGAACTGGAAACGTCAATGGCAAATTACAAGGCTTTTCCCAAGATTTGATGTGCTGTAGGACTTGTAATAAGCGAAGGGAAGTGAATTTGGAAGGGCAGGGTGTCTACTGAACGAGGCTGTCAGGCTGAGAGCCTAAAACTTGAAGTTATCTGAATCCAGACTGTCCCAAGACAGCTGTGACCAGTTGGTGTTGTCATATGAAGGTTCATGAGCCTCCATTCACATTTTCATCTAAAATTTAGACTAAGGAGCCTCAGCAGCTGTTTCACTGCTTTCCTCACAGGCAGTCACAAGTGAGAATCATGTGGGCTGAACAGTCTTGTCCCACAGTTACTTCTCCCGCAAATAACTCAGCCAGACAAGACTGGGCATATTTTGAAGAGCAATTCCATATGTATCTCTTCTGGTTACAAGTAAAGAAATTCAGTCTTCAGACCTTAGTCTAGCTCTAGTACCCAAGCAGGAAACTAGTCCGTGGTATGTCAGGCTGCAGTCCTTCTTCCTGCTATTCTAGAACCTTTCACTGTGCTTTTTCCAGGATTCATTTTTTGCATGCCCCCTAACTAGCTAGATCTCCTATCCTGCTTTTCTGCAGACCTGTTCCTGTAGAGGTATACTTCTGGGAAATTTTCTCATAAATGGCTTCACACAGGAAGTGCCTTTTGATTTTTGTACTGGATTGTCTGGACAATTTCCATATTTAAAAGTACCTGAATTCCCAAAAATATTTATTCCTCTTTTTCTGCTGTCTAGGTGGTTACTACTTTTTGGCCTATTCTCAAGGGGTAAGTCTTTTGTTCTGATTACTTTCTGCCCAGCCTCCTTAGCTTTCCTTCAGGCTAAAGTGTACTTACACTTTAGCTTGAGCCTAAGGTAAGGAAATTGCCTTAATTTTTTAAATTAGAGTTATTGACACTTTTTTTTTTTGTCCTTACAGCAAAACCTCCAAATAGTTGCATAGTCCTGTTATCTCTTACTTGTGTTTTTGTCAGCGGTAGAATAAGGAAAGAAGAGCAGAAATCAAAGAGAGTATGATGTTATGATCTACTGACTCCGACTTGACTTATTATGTGGAAACTGCTAGCAGACTTCTTTAAAAGGTTCTGCACTCAGGAATGAGGGAATGATCCTAGGGAAATCTAGTGAGGACTGCAGCCGTGGACTTGAGCAGTCTTGCTTTGTGGAGAAGGAAACCCTGCACGTGGTAATCACAAATGCAGTTTCTCAGAAACCATTCTGTAAGCATGAGGATTTTGGTGTTTTAGAAAGAGCAAATGGATTCTGAAGGTTTTCTGGAGTTTTGAACCTGATCAGCAGTGGTCCATAAAGCAAGATACCTTTGAAAAATGAAAATGTGAAACATGATCATTGCTCTTTTCGTTATAGTAAGCTGCTCTGCTTTTTCCCTTGCTCTCTTTTTTTAGTGGTATAAGCTGACAATAGTTCACTGATCTATGCTGTCAGTGTGGAATCTGTGATTGTGAAATAAAGCTGTACATATTTGTCTGATGACTTTTTATTTCTAATTTTAGCTGAAGTTATAGTTCTCGTATTCCTAGACTCCCTACCAAACTTTTGTAAATTTGCCAGTATTAAGGATTTGTTGCATTGCTTGTTTAATTCTGATAAAATAGCTGATAGTTGGCAAGGACCCGAGATAATAAAATAAGCCATGAAGTAAACAGGTTTTTGTTTTTAGAAATAGAAATTTCTAAGGCTCCTGCATTATACAACAAATTGCTCTTTTTTTCTACTTAACTAATTTATTTTTTCTACTTGAAATGTAAGTGCTTGAACAAGTGAGAGAGTGCAGCTGTCAGAAGATTAACCAGCTGAAAACTATTGTCAGCATTAATTTTGCTCTAATAAATGACTCTCTGAAGCTATTTAGCAGTCTGTAATCTAGATACAAGGCTATTGACCTATGATGGATAGTACTGGATTTTGTTTGTAAGCTTTGACTTAAATTGTCTACTTAATTTGCTGCAGGTCAGATCACAGGATTAGTGGTAAAGGCCATTATGTGGTTTGAATAAAAATAGCTGCAGGAATGGAATGAAAATCATTGTGTTTATTAATGTAGCAATCTTTGAGGTCATGTACATAGTAAAGTGGTAGCCAACAAGATGACAATGACCTGTTTGTCTTAGCTCTAAATCTAGGCTTTGCTCTTAACCCAGTTCCTGGGATTCACCAGTGAGTTGCCTGGGGAGGAGACATTCATCTGTGACTGGGGATTGGCTGCAGCCTCTTAACCTGAAGAGGAAGATCTTTACCACATTTCAGTGTGTCAAAAATGTGTCGTTCTAGGAGCAGCATGTTATATATAGACTATTTTTTCAAAGCTTTGAGTCTGAGCAAGTTCTTCTGGATGCTTCGGGGTATAATATAGGTTGAGCAGCTGCTTCATTTGTTCTCTTAGTGGGAATCTCTTTCTTCTACTCATTTGCCTATTTTTACAAAACTGGTGGAAACTTAGTGGGTTTTTAGACCTTGATCTGTCAAATTTGTCTGAAATTCTTCAGTGAATTCAAAAGATAGTGCAGGTTGAATGGCAGGGTGGTGGGCAGAAATGCATGACACATGCAGAAAGGTTCCTGCACTGTCTGTGAGTGACTGGCTACAAATGCCCCTAACTTTTTTTTTTTTAAGGAAACGTGAACAAAAAATCCTTCTTGTTCTTCAGTGTGTGTCACAGTCTTTGATGTAGGAAAGAAGGCCTAATACTGAGCAGGTCATTGCCTAGCTGGTTCAGTGGTACAGCACTTGCAAGAGATTTAAGACTTTAAGTTGAGAGATGCTTGAATTCGCCTACTGGGATTGACAACTTCATCGGAACTTTTTGGGCAGGAACTCAGTTGCTGCGGTGTCGTAGTTGTGGACTTATTTTTTCTTTCTATTATTTTTTATCACATAATTTCATTTTCTGGTGAGGAACAAGGTGAATGGAGCAGGTGTCCTATTTAAGTGGGATACATTTTTAACAGAATAACTTATTTACTATTGCAGCTTGATGGAGTTGAGGATTCGGGGGGGGGGGGTTGTTTTTTTTAAAGCAATGCTGCTTTGTCTTCCACTGAGAAGCTTTTCAGGAATGCATCTTCATTTTGGCTATACCACATCCAGCTCAGTGAAGTCGTTTCAGTTGCACTCTTGATACTATTTCAATATGAACATTTATTAATGGTTACTACGGTAGCTAATTGGTGGAAAAGAACTAAGAACCATAGTGGAAGAGCAATCTGACTTAATATAGAAGCAAAATTATATTTGAAAGTGGGCCGTTATCTGCAGCTGTACATTACAATAGGCTAAGGTCTGATGCATAGCACAGAAAATGTATAGTGGCTGCGCTTCTTGCTGAACTGAAGAGTAGCGAAGAACCTGAGGCGCTCATTGGTTTGGATTTTTCTTGTAGTTCTGTCTATTAAATGTGTTGGGGACGAGAAGGTTAAGGTATGCTAGTAATTCGTACTAGAAATAGACTTCTTTTAAGGAAAGGTACGTTTCATCTAGGTGCTAAACATCACATGAAAAATATTGCTATTTTTGTGCTTAATAATTGTATGATCAAAGACTACGGCATGTGCTTAACGATTCTTGATAAAGGTAGGATAGACTTATGGGAATAAAACTGGGAATAGTGTGTGCATGTGTGGTTTTTTGCACTAGTTTTATGTAGTTCTCTGCGTTGGTGTGGTATGTGTTAAGTCTATGCATAGGAAACTAACTGAAAGTTTCTTGAATTAGAAAGAAATTTGCTTCAGAGTAGAAACGTAATAAACTTCAGATGCAGAGATTCAGAAGGGCAGCGCTTGGTTTTGCATGGCTGTATCGTTTAGATGTTCAATTATGTGAAAATAAGCACGCATTGATAAAAATCAGACTTAAGTTTGGAGAAGCTGATAAAAGCAGAGTTAATTGAGCAACAGTCTGTCAGTAGTGATACGTGGAGAGCAGTTTGACAAAACAGAACTTTTATTTAGTAATTCAGATATAATGAATTTTTTGGGATGCAAGGTTGCAGAAAGGGTTGATTCTTTCTCCATGTGAAACTATAAAAGTGATACTGCCAGTTTTCCGTAAGCCTTGTGAATTGTTGTGTCCTCGTATGCCTGGTGATACATTCTTCCCTATAAGAAATTTTATGTGGCTTTACCTTCATCAAATGTTCAAGAGTTAAGATCTTTGATCCTGTAAGTGCTGGGGCTATATGCTTGCTTTACAAGGTAGTAATAGACTTTGAGGGTATTCATCATAGGTGAGGTACTGAGCACATAAATTGTATATCATCAGAACCTTATTGATAAGATGGGGTTCTTACATTTCTTTAAAAATACTGATATTAAATCCAGTGTTGTCTTGATTCAGGCGTTGGAGCTGCTCGAGCCGGAAACCTCACTTTCATGGTTGGTGGAGTGGAACAAGAATTTGATGCTGCCAAGGAGTTGCTGACATGTATGGGTTCTAATGTGGTTTACTGTGGAGGGGTTGGAACTGGACAGGTAATGCTTGCTGAGGACTTAGCAGTTACCTCAGTCTTTCTTTTCTGTTCCTTTTTTGGTCTTTCATGATTCCCTCTTTTTTTATTCCAGAACTAAATGCACTATATTATCTCCCCTTCCTTGTTTGCTCATTCTTCAGCCATTTATATATAAAATATTCTCCTGACACTGTTCTCCAGCATGTTGTATAGCTTACCACCAAAACTTCTGAACTGATCTTTCCCCAGATTGCCTTATTAAGATTATACTTCTTAGAGGATACAAATTTTAATTTTATTTCTTCTAAATTTAGTATTACTGTGTGGTCTGAAGGGCAAAAAAACCCTGCATGCAATGTACACTAACTGAGCTACTGCACTAAGAAAAAAAATATTTCCTAATCTCTGAAGGAACCATAGGTCATCTTTCATTGACTTTTTACTAGTGTAGATTTGTACTTGCTGGTGCTACTTTTAGGAAAGAGCTATCTGAACTTGATCGTAGCCATTGTGGGCCTAGTTACAGAGGCTCCCTACATGTTAACTCTATCAAAACTCAGAAACTGGCTGACTATTTAACTTATTTTCAGGCTGCAAAGATCTGCAATAACATGCTCTTGGCCATCAGTATGATTGGAACTGCTGAGGCTATGAATCTTGGAATCAGGTTTGTTTGATTTTTATATTGGATTGAAGGGTTTTTTTCTTTTCTGTGGTCACAATTTTTGTATTTTACAGTTGATTTTTCCTGAGACAACAATGATTAGATGACATAGATAAAATTTGGCTAGAAATTCTCTTGTAAAAGCCTTTAACAAGCTAAAGTGATTATTTAACTAAGGCAGGACTCTTGAGAACTGTAATATTCTCTTTCATTTTTTGTATAGATCATTGTGTTCTGTATCTCAAGTTAAGTGTTTATTTGTTCTGTTACAATGCAATGTACAATAATGTTTATCTTAGATTCCAAACACGCAGAGATAATGTGGAGATACTTTTTTGTTTGGATGCTAAGCTAATGTACATTGTATTTTGAGTATTATACTCTTATGGCTCTGATTGGCTTTGCCTTTGTTAACTTGTTCCAAAATATGTTGTAAACTAACACTTTTAATGTGGTGTGCATCTCAAATCAGAATTAAAGCATAAAAAAGACATGTGCTTTTCTGTCGGACTTAACCACTGTGGTTTGTCCTAATTGACAGAACTCTTCCTTTGCCAAAAAGTCAGAGTATGTTCCGTTGCACTCCTTCCATTCCTTTTCTAAAAGGTGATGCATCTGATTTCTAAGTGGCAGCACATTCAGACAAAGTGGTTTTTCTTCTCTGATAGAAACCTATTTCTGTGCTGTGGTCTTTGAGATTTTATTTCATGTTCCAACAAAATGCATGCAAATACCAGTTCAGCTTCACAGTGTTTGAACCTTCCTAAATTCTCTTAGCCAGATCTAAATCATTTGCAAGCTTAAACACAAAGAAGTCCTGTGTCTGAAGAGATTATCTTGCAATTGCATATCTTTTAAGAGCTCTTCATCCATTATTCATCTGCCCAGTCACATCCTTACAATTGGCCTGCCAAAACTACAGATGTTCTAGATATTTATCAACTGGGCTCTAGACCGTGTGCTCATGTGGATTTGATACATTATAAAAACAGCAAGAAGGCATCAAATACTTAAATAAATAAAAAAGAAGGCCTATATGTGAGCGCATACACAAAGCAGTGTAATGGATTCACATTTCCTCTTAATTACCATATCAAGATGCAGTTGTTTTATTGAATTGCCCTTGTCTCAGATGTTAGACTATCTTGACCTATTAAGTTGTCATGTTGTAATTGAGATAAAAGAGGAATTTGCTTTGCATCAGTGCTAATTGGTTTATCAATATCCTGTACCATTTACATTTTAAAATTGAGTGTCTGTAAGATAGTGGAGCATATCTGTATCAAGCCATAATACAGCCAGTAGCATTGTATACAACTATCGTAATCCAGTGTGGTGTGAAGCTTGCAGCAGAGTCTGTTTTAGGTCATGGTTCACTTAATAGAGCATATGCAACTGATTTGTCATTATATTTTTGTCCACATACGTAAGGATATGTAAGGATGATTACAGCTAAAATTAAAAATAGAATAAAATCAGAAGGTTTGGAGCATATTCTGGGCATGTAAAGTTAGGTACAAAATAAATCGATATCTGCAGCCACTTTAGCTTGAAAGGGAGTTGATTTTTCAGAGTTCATTTTATCCTTTCCCAGTTTAAATTTTGACTGAATTTGTATTCAGCATTTGTGAGCAAAAACAGAAGTGACAGTATATGAACCTTTCTACCCCACAGTCATGGTAATCAAGAAGGAACTGTAGTTATTGTAGAAGAAACCTGCTAATTGTGGCTTGGATGTTATGAAGAACAGAATCTCATTTAGGCTGAAACTGTATGAAGTTTAAGATATAAGCAGTAGTTCAAAGCCTTAGCAAGTAATTTAGAACTTTAGCATTGATTTTAATGTGCTGTGCTTTAAATCCTGGAGAAAATGATTTCTGCTTATGAGTGGAATAAGAGCTTTCTATTTTTGATGTGTACCAATTTCTAATGTACAAGTTAGTCATAATTCTAATATTAAAAGTTTTATCTTAATAATGATTAAGTTTTTTTTCAAGTCTAAAATGATCAAAAAGTTGACATAATGCAATAATAACTATCATACTCAAAGTAATATTTGAACAGTTTTTCTTTTGGTACACAAACTCAAAGGATGTTTTGACTGCCGAAGTGGGAGAGTAGGAAACAACTTGATTTATTAGACTGATGCGTATCTGGTAAAGAAAGTCTAACACTGACCTAATAATGGGTAAGGGATGCTGGAAATCTAAAAAATTTATGATAAAAATGGTGGAAGTTGGACATGTTCTTAACTTTTAGAGAGACAGAATATAAAATGTCCTTTTGTCATGCATTGTATACATCTGCTACATCATTTAAATCTTGAGTTTTTACAGACTTTGAGTTATTCAAAAACTATTGCTGACTGTGAACTAGACGTGAGTAGAAAGTCATATTACAGTGCCTTGCGGAAACCAACATATACCCTGCTTAAATATTTGAAGCAATGTGATGTTAGAGTCTATTAATGAACTACTACCTCTATATTGTTTTTACAAACCATGCAGCCTAAATTTTCATTTTTTGAAACAGTACTGTTTTATTCACTTCAGATTTTGAAATGACATCTGCTATCGTTTTATTTCTTTGATATAATACATTTTTTTCCAAACTGCAGCTTAAGTAACTAATAGAACATGATGAGGAGGCAGAAAAAAAAAAATCAGTGAGCAAGAATTCCACACTAAACTACCAGAAACATAGACAACAATCCTATGCGATTGTTGTGCTTGCATTCCATTCACTTTTCTGCTTTGCTGTAACATCATCATCACTTACTAACGATGTCCACTTTCAGTGGAAGCGCTTGGGTTTAGATTCCATAACTGGGATTTAGAAAAATGCCAACTGAAGTTCTGACAGTTGAAATGGTTGTTTTGTTTTGTTTTGTTTTCCATCAGTTTCGTAGTGCTTTATGAATGTTGCTACTAAAAGCTTTTGAAAGTGTGGCAGACATTCTCAAAAGGAATTTACATTTTCTTCTGTATTTTCTTTTTTCCGGCATGGTAGTACAACTTGTCAATAAGAAAATATACTGAGTAGAGATTCAGCTCTGTTTTTATAGACGATGTGCATATTGCAAAATACTGTAGTAAATTTGTATGCCAAACCAATACACAGAGTGCACCTAAACTTCACTAATGAGAAATAAAAACATTTATTGATACTGTCCACACCACAGATTAATTTTCTTTTTGCTGATCATCTCAGTGTCAGTAAGCCCTCTTACTGAGCTTGTGAGTTCCAGAGTAACAATGCCTAGTGCTAGCAAGATAAAGCTTGGAAATTAAATATTGCTGATACCTCATTTGTGTTTAGGTCAGATGGAAGTTGCTGCCTGTCAGGCAGCTGGCAATCCCTTCCGAGACTGCCTGCACAGACTGAGGGAAGGGATTGTGTGGTGCCATGAGATAGGACAAGATTGTTTAATATGGTTGGGGTGCAAAGAACCAGCACAGAAATAAGAGGTTTATGCCAGTGACCTCAGTGTAAAATCACTTTCGTACTTCAACCAGCAAAGTCTCTTGTCTGCTAGGAGGGACTGCAGTAGCTCCCAGAATTGTATCAAAGCTGCAAATGCTGCTCTTCTTTAAGCAATTCTACTGTACATCAATTTGTGCCTGCCTGCTTTTGTAAATATGTAAAGCGGAAAGACAGTGAACGAACTTTGTCCTCTGATGCGAGGTCCAGCTATAGTTTTGGTCTCTAAATGTAGTTTCTGTGAGCAACCCTGAGCTGTAGGTGAAACACGTTAGCAGAAATGCTAGTCTACAGTGTAGAGAGCACCCTGTGCTGCAGCTTGAGGGATGATTAGCCCTGAGCACATCCTCATTGCAAATTTTTTGAAAGGATGTCTTGACAAAGAATTCCTCCAAGAGTACTGTGGCTCTGCTGTCTTCACCATAGGGCTATTCCTAAGTCTTGTGAAGGCTGGTAAGGACACTTGAAAGCACTCACCTCGTGTGAAATGCCAGTGGCAAAGTCACTTTTAGCTATGGTAGAAAGATTGTAAGGTTCTGCTCAAGTACCTGTTTGCAACTTCAGATGGTATTTATCCAAAGCACCTTGAACTGGAAATCTCTCAACGGTTTAGCTACTTCAGTTGTTACCCCTTAAAATAAGATTGACAGGTTTATCTTTCTTGTGAGATGCCGTTTCAACTTTTCTCACTGTTCTGAACGGAACGCTTGGAGGAGTGCGTGAAAATTTCAGTACGTTACTTTGTGAAAACTCAGCAAAACTTGAGTTTTTAGCAGTGGTTTGAAGTGTTCCTGTTTTAACCATTGTTTTGGTGTGTGTTGCTTGGTTTCTGCTTTCCCGTTCAGTTCATTAGGGGTATTATTGAAGAAGCATTAATTTGAAGCAGCAATTGTTTCTGTGCTCTGTTATAAGTACAATTAATACATGGACTCCTTTTCTGTTCGTAAGAGAGGACGTTTCTGGTAATTGTAAATTCACATGCGCATGCACATGCTTCTGCCACGTCCAATGGCAAGTTGTTATGGGGACTGGCAGACTGTCATCATTTTGATAGCTTGAGCAGTATATCTCTTGAACAGCAATGGAGCTCTTATGCAGAAAGTATCATATGTTCCTAGCCAATTTACAGGGAAACAGCAATAACATTTTATCATGGTTGAGAGCCCAGTAGCTGCTTCCTATTAAACTTGCCCTTTCAGATACCTGTCTTGGATTAATTTGTTGATTTCAAATGGAAACTCAGTCTTCTCCACTGAAGCATGACTTTCTAGGATAGACTCTCACTGAATGACAATTACTGTATATTCTAGCTGGTTTCAGACCATTACAAGCTTTGGGCACAGTGGAAGACAGAGGACTTCTTCAGTAACTGATTTTAATATATGTCTAATTTTAACTGTCAGTTATATATGCACCAGTGGATGAATCCTCAGAAAAATGAAATGCAGAGCACTTCTAACTTGCTCTTATTAATGATACACTTGCTGCAAAGGAGAAAAAAGAAATAGGTTCAGGTCTCCTAAAGAGAATCTGCATGGTGTTTAAGAGCACGGAAGTTTGAAAAAGCAGGGATTTAAGCTGACATTATCTTCTTATTTCTTTCTCTACAGCAAAAATATGCCAGATCTAGTGCAGACAGTATTCTACATAGCTATATAACATACCTATATCTTTTAAAGTATATTTTCACAGAGAGGTAACTGTAACACTGTGCAAAGAGTATTCTTTGGGAGGGTTATATGCGTTTTGAAATAGCAGCTTCACTGTCTTGTGATATAAATGCTAGTCGCAGCTGTAATTAGGGTCCTCTGCATGCAGCTAGATATGGCGCAAGCAAGTGCACCACTTAAAAATACTTTTCTGGATGTAACAACAATAAGGAAACAAACAAACCGAGAGATTTGTTTTGGCCAAAAAAGCAACCTCTGTGTGTTCAAATATGTTGCTGCTCCCAGTATGTTTTTTTGTATGACAGCAATTAAAGCACATTTTTTCAGAGTGCTTCTTGATGAAGACTTTGCACTGTGTAAGATAAAAGTATGATTAAAAAACTCTGGAAACATATTGGAGGTGGGAAATATATGTAGATATGTATGTATGTATGTATTTAATGGCAGCTGAAAGCATTCAGTTGAGATGAGGTTGGAAAAAAATGGGGAGGAGGATAAAGCTCAATCCCCTTCAGGCCAATGAGGGACCTTCTACTGACTTCCAGTGGCTGGGGGGGGGGATAAAGCTCAATCCCCTTCAGGCCAATGAGGGACCTTCTACTGACTTCCAGTGGCTGTTGCAGCAAGCCATAAATAAGACTGCACAACAGTAATACTAAAAAGCTGCCTTTGCAGTACGAAAAGTGATTTTACTTTGCATTAAGAGGGGAGAATTGCAGAGACATGTCGTTGTAGGAGCAAGAACCATACTAGAGGGCTCACTGCATTGAAAGTAATTTTTCAAATCTGAAATGCCGGCTGGAATAAACAGACATAAATTTAAGCAACTATTCCGTTGGCAATGAGCTTTATCCGCCTACAAATTAAAACCTTGAGTGCTACAGAGCCTGAAAGTGGTGTTAAGGATCCTTATGGCTATGCATTACTGTTGCAGAAAATCTTAGGTAAGAGCTAATACAAAGAGTATTGACTCATGTGGAGGTTAAAACTCAGAATTGTATGTGAAAGGTATTTTTCTTTTTAACCTGTTTGTTTGTTCATGACAAAATAGGCTGTGAGATCCCTTTTAAAATATCTTTTTTCCTCTTTGATTGTTACTGGAGATAATTACCTCGCTTTCTTTTTTGTGCTAAGTATAATTCAGCATTTTTGAAGAGCCCATGTAAACTGCAGCTGCTGCTGCTATAAATGCAATTGGTGTAAAATTACACTTGCAACTTAGTATCAGCATAAATATGAATCCAGAAGAGGGTAAATTTTCTATAATGTTGAAGTACCTTTAGGGTCCATATTGAGCAGCAGTTTATGACATCAGTTCTGTGATAGAACAAATGATGTTTCTACTCGGACAAGCTTTGTTTTATCAGGATCAGTAACCTTATCAGCAGTTGACCCAGAACTATAATGTGTGTTTGTGAATAGATAGCATATGTCACAGTGCAAGGCAGACTTGCTTCAGAAGCAAGAGTTCATAATGAAGATTTAATAAAAACAAAGTAAAGAATGTTCAGATGTGTGCAATGGCAATATTTTTTGAAAAGGGTAACATTTTTAGTCACTTCTTATTGTTAGTGCAGGATCATTTGCATTATCTTGCTTACATCAGGAATGTATAAATGCACACATATAAACACGCCACACAGGTGTTTTCACACTCCCCGACTTGATTGTGAATTCTTTTCTTTGTTCAGCTTCAGAGAATATAGTTTTGATATGAAGAACAAGTATGTGCTCCAGTAGGTAGCAGAACAGAGAATGCCTTTCAGTAATTGGCATACAAGAGAACTGCTGTTCTCAGAGGACCTTTATTTTGCTTGCACTTTCAAAATTGCTAGGTGAAGGGGCTTTGCTTAGTGTAAAAGGAACAAGCTCTGAAATCCTAGTGCTTAAATGATAGATTGATGTTCTTTAGTTTAAAATACAGCATCCCCACCCCCAATATCAATACTCTTGTCATTTTTCACGTCTTATAATAAAGGGAGAGAAATGACGGTAGGGTCCTAAGATATAAAACAAGTCACCCATGTCTTGTGCATTTTGACATTAACACTTCTTTTCCTTGACGTTTGACAGATTAGGGCTTGACCCAAAGCTGCTGGCCAAAATCCTAAATATGAGCTCAGGCCGCTGTTGGTCAAGCGATACGTACAATCCTGTTCCGGGAGTGATGGAAGGAGTACCATCTGCCAATAATTATCAAGGTGGCTTTGGAACAACACTCATGGCTAAGGTACATAACACTTGTACGTAAAGCTACGGTTGCTTCTCGCTGGGCTTCTAGCAAACATTATTCTCAGTGGAAATGTATGATTACAGGGAAATTAATGTGCATACGCAGAAGGAGACCCAACCTATTATTGTAGCCCTGAATTACTGAGTAAAGCCCCTAAGGGGCTTTACCTCAGCCTCCAGCCTCTTCTTAGCTACTGTTACTGCAGAGCCACTCAGTGAGGTTACATGCACTTTCTTTGAGTACTGACTTAATCCAGGGGCACCTGTTCCTGAGAGGCTTGTGTGTAAGGCAGATATTCAGCAAGCCATTTGTGTGCCTTTCACATGACTTCTGTAGAATAAGGTGCCTAAACTCCATATAACAATTCAGGAAAATGCTGCTGACCTAATTAGGTGCAAAAGATGGCATAGGCACCTAAGACTGAGGCCCAGTCTCTTTCAGATACCTTAATCTGTGGTACTGGACATGCCCTGTAGCATCCCACTCTTTGCTGAGCCGACTGCTTGGGTGCTTGTCTTTCTGCCCAAGGCCATTTGGAATGCAGAAAACGGACAGCTTTCGAATCAATGCCTCCTGCAGACTGCAGTTTTCTGGGGTCCCTGCG